GGTGTGGTGACTGTGAGGAACTAAGGGATTTAGTGGAGAAGTTGCAGAGGGAGGTTGAGGAGTTGCGGGAAAAGAACGTGTTGCTGAAGTCAAGGGAATGTTTAGATGAGCTTCTTGCGACAGAGCAGGGTAGGGTAAAGGTAGTTAATGAGATATGTAAGATAGAGAACAAGTTTCCGTTTGCGGAAACTCTAGACGCCATTAGCCACGCAAAGGAGAGTAGGAAAGTGGAGTCATTGCTGGGCATCCCCGCTGGCCGCATCACTTCCCGCTCCTATAATCCCGTAGTAGAGGCTTTTGTGTGTGGCATGACGGCGCCACTTTCAGTGCAGTCGTCCGTAGGGGCAGCAAAACGTAGCATGCGCCAACAGGAAGCTATCGAATCGGTTTACGCTGCTCGGAACCTGAACTATTGCTCCCAATTCCACATGGTGTTTCAGGCAGTCGTGTACGCTATCACGCAAAGTAAAACTTCTGTGGACATGATTGGCCACTTGGGTCCAGGGAGTAGCTATGCCCTGCTGAAAGATTGGCTTGGCAATCTAGGAGGTGAGCCTGTTAAAGTGCCAAGGGGCTTTGTTACAGTGGGGTTTGACAATGAGCAGCGGCAAATGCGCTCGTATTTATCACGGGGTGCGAATCGGTCAACTTACGAGATTTTGACGAATGTGGTTTACGCGTTACATTCGGCACAGGACCTGCAATCCGTAGAAAACTATCACATGCGGCACTGGTCCTTTCCGAGTGAGGAACAGCTTTTAGAAGCACTCCGTTGCCCTGCTCCGACCTCTCCAGCATCGCCAATGCACAGCTATTTGGCCAGCTAGGTTGGAAACAGAATAGCTGGTCTGGCAATGGAGCACAACAATGGTTGTGACCCAGTAGTAAGATTCCGACAGGAGGAGGAAGCTAGCAGATCTTTCATAGTTTGCCCTGGGTGTCAAAAGCAGTACGAGAAAAGAAAAGTAAAATGTAGCAATTCGGAGTGTGCTGTCACAAACATCAGGGCTGCTATCGCAGAAGCAGCCGGTCTTTCTCGAGTGTCCACTGAAGTTCTCCGTCTTCCGTCTTCCCCGGCAGTGGGAGCAGGATCGCACTTTGTGTATCGCAATGTAGCAGACAGTGGTGGGGTTAGTGTAGGGCGGGTTAGGGCAACACGCTCAGAGCAGTTAGATTCTCCTCCTGTCCCTCCGGCAAATGTAGGATTGCTCGAGCCTGTCTTTGTGAACCCCAATTCACATGAGGCAGTGCGTGTTCTCCTGAGGGAAATTGGGACAAGTGCAGGTGTGAAGCAATGTGTTGGTGAGCAGGGCTGTAGAGAGTGGCTTACCATTGTCTGTGATGGCCTTCCGTATTCACTGATGCGCACTGTCATTGCTCAAAGTAGAGACGAGGCCAGGAAAGCAGCGTACCATGCCGCGGGCATTTTAGATGTAGGTAGCATGAGCAAGGAGTTGTTGGTGGGCTACTGTAGGCAGCACTCTTTGAATGTGTCTGGCAGCCTAGCATCATTGCGTAGCCGTGTAAGCACTCATGTACAGGGCAGGGTAGCGAGTGGAGATTTGAATGTGCTGGGTAGCATCCCTGCAGGTGAGTTCGACTGGGTTGTGTCGCAAAGTGGAGGCCTTCACTGGGAGATGAACTTGATCCAGGCCATTGTCAAGACTCTTTGGCATTTTGTGTACAAAGAGTTTTGTTTCAGTCAAGGCTACAATTCGCCGCGTCAGCTAGACTGGGCCCACAAGGCCAAGGACCACCACCGCACTTATGATGAACTTAGTCGCTTCACAGATGGATGCATGGATGAGCTGCTACGCCCCTATGTTGTGTCGTGTGCAAGTGATTGTGCCCCCACTGCAGAAGGTTTCTTTGAGTGGGCCAAGAAGTTCGAGAAGAACAAGGTGTTCTCTTGGCTCTTGGAACTGGTGACGACATACTGCTTCACCCTGTTTATGCTCCGCCGTGGTGCACGCCACTGCGATGTACCTTTGTTCCTGGCAGCACGCAGGACCATCAGCCCGCTGCTGTATGCACGTAACCACACCACCTACCAACTCATCGACATGTTTGAGGAGCAGCAGCGACTTGCCATGCCTGAAGATCTGAGATGTGAACTTGATAAGCATATGTTCTTGTCACGATCGGGCAGAGGCGACTCCCACCAAGCCCTGGACGCTATTGTGGAAGAGCTAAATGCCAACATTAAGGCCTGGATCTCGGGGGAGAAGGACTCCAACATGTGGCGCCGTGTAGTCCGCAACTACAACCAGTTAGTGAAGCTGCGCAGCAAGGTGTTTTGTACATTGGGGTTGACTGACCCCAAATCAGCCCCCAAGCCACGGCCAGCTTACACCAAGGAGCTCGTCGTCTGGCGATCCCGTGTGCGCCAGTTCTTGTGCCCTGATGACTGCTTGGCCTTCCAGCGTCTACTGGAGTCCATGTCTACTGAGTTTGTAATGGACAGTGCTGCTATGGAACTCACCGCTGAGGGGAAACGGCGCCGGCGGAAGATGTGCTGCACCTTTGCAGACGGCAAATCCACGACAGCTCGTACGACAGCAGCAATGCACTTTGTGACCGTTGAAGAAAGGGAGAAGTCGTGCGGAGATGCACGCCGCTCTGTCTCGTCTCTCAAGGCAGAATTCCAGCGGATGCTGCAGTCTCTACCCGAGCAGTCATTGGCGGGCGGCCTCAATGACAGCATGGCCAAGGCGACCTTGCAAACCGATGTCCTGTCCATCGTCCGGGAAATGCGGAGTTTGGTGTCTGTCAGCTGTGCCCATGCGTGCTCGTCGGACGAGGACAACTAGATTGTCTTCCTGGTGGTGATTGGTTTGGCTATGTTGCTGACGCCTGTCCGGTGAGTACAGCCTCTTCTGTTGTAATTTTTTATATGTGTATCTGTTAATCAATAATTATTGGTCTATTGATTTATGATCAATTTAGGTGCATGTGGATGAGGTAAGTGGCCTTGGATACTGTAAGTTTGTGGACCAGTATGAACTGGTACGTGTCTTGGAAAGCACTACTGAATGTAAATTTAATATTGTTGATTTTTAAAACCCAAGTGCAAACCTGCATCTGAAAACTACCCTAAACATATTATTTTATGTTCTGATCCTGATGTCAGTGATTCATAGGATATTTATTTCAGTTCTTTTAAATACACCTACCTTCAAGGATGATAAATCACTCACATGATGAGAATGTTTTGGCTGATGAAGGGTGGTGTTGCGAATAGTTTTGTCATGTTTGCATCAGGCATCTACACCAGTGTTGTATGCATGTGTTCTTATCTACTCCATGCGCAGATACCAGTTCTTCCTGTAAGTTGCGATTCCACACCGACTCAACGCGAAAGATGAAGATTGTTTTCTACTCAGACACAACGCCATCAGTGTATAGACTTTTTCAACACTTGCTTCTTGCAATGCCGGTGATTTTGACATAACTTATGAGCACCTTCGTTTATTATGGTTTGTTATCTTCATCAACAATGATAAACTATGTTTTTTTACTTAGAATCCCTAATACCGGCAAATGACTGTACATGTACATATCGTTTGTACAAAACGACTTCAAATGTTTACGAATTTTCTAAATTCGTTAAATCGTTAGAATTAAATGTTCGTTACTGGTCTAACCGAATGCGTTTGGTATGGCTGATGCAAATCTACGGTGGCCAACAATTGCCCAGCCATGATGCAGACTTTGCGTCCTTGAATCGTGGTTTGACCGTATTGTCCAAGGGTTTTGCCAGTATCATCATCGACATGCATGAACATCCGCCAATATCAAAACATGGAATGCCTGCAGTGTTCAGCCCATCCACAGGACCAAGCTTCAATGAAGAACACACGCATGCATGTTCTATACGCAGTCAGAGATCACACATGCCAGGGTATGCAGGGGCGTCAAACATGGTACGACCAATACCACCATAGCCATACCACTTTTCATCTAGAATGGTCCGCCGAGAGTAACTGTAGAGCCCAAAAACATGATCTAGTGGCCAAAAGATCCGATCTTCCCTCCCCCCACCCCCCCCCCCCCCCTCCCGGACACTTCCGGGACCTCCCTCGTACCCCCCTCCCCCTTGCCCTGTGACACCCCTGGTATGTATACTGTACTCACGTTGGCAGGCTGGCAATCCGCTCCAGTTACCGTGCACCTCATTTAAAGCATTGCATGTGAAGTTTGTGACCCCATCGGCTGGAACGAAGCCTACATCGCATGCAAGCAGTGCCATCGTCCCCAAGTATGCCCCTGTGCTGTTCGCAATTCTGCCGTTCTGGACCAGTAGCTGAGAGCAGTAGCCGGGAATCGCTGCACAAGGGCACATAAAATATGTACAGTCAGACCTCGCATAACTGCACACATCCTTTTTCCACAAAATATCCGGGTAGGCGAGGTAACCGAATAATCGAACACACATAATGTATATGTATGTATGTATGTATGTATGTATGTATGTATGCATGTCATCAAGATTACATAATGCTGTAAATCGATAACCAACGATATTGTTCTAGACGGCTTGAGATCCGGTTAAAAGAGGACTGGATAATGAGGTCTGACTGCAAATTGGTAAACATTTTCCCAATCACCGTTTTCCTTGATTCCATTTAATTTAATATAAAGAGCACTCGGATACTGAGCCAATAATAAGATGTAAAAAGGAGAAGAAACAAATGAGAACGAGTTATGCAGCAACTATCCACGACTGTAACACGATGATAAACGGTCAGAAAGTGCGATAATAGGGCACAAAACTGACAGGCTACTGAGACATTCAGCGACCCGAGACCAAGCTCTAACACATCTCCAGTGCGCAAACCAACAACCTTCCAACTTGGAAGGTTCATGGTTACGTCGGACCGAAGAGAGGAACGTGAGCGCAGCGAAAATGTGCACAAGTTAAGTCCTGCGGCTACAAAGAATGCCGACTGCTACAGGACAATGACGAGACCAGTTAATAACATGATAATGTGGTCTGAATACAATTCGAAGCAGCAAAGCAACAAACCACCCAACTTGGGTGGGTCGGCAATATCAGAGATAATGGCGGTAAGTGGACGGATATGGAAGGCGACATCGGCATTGTACGCTTCGGCAGTAATAAACTGGACATGGGAATGACACCTTCTCGGGTAGGACATATAAGCATACACTTTTGCAAAGGCCAATGCAGCACATAATAATAGAGAGGTTCTGCTACACGGAACTACGTACCAAACTCCGTGTCAACTGCAGTGAAGTTTGACACGGATTTTTCGTTCGTTGCACCGGTTCTGCTGTACGTAGCATGCTCGAAGCATGCACGAACACCCTGCCACATGTACTCCGTACGCTTACTTTTCACACAGAGTCCGGTCCGTGTGAAGCGCGCTTCACACGGAAAACGGTATGACAAAATCCGTATCAAACTAAATGCCGTACCGCGGTGAAGTTTCCATACGTACTTTGGCGCGTTTTACCGTGTGGCAGAACCTCACTATTATCATACTTCAGTATCGCATGAAGATGATGGCAATTACATTACGCACATTTGAAACTGGACAAATATTATCAATAATGAATTAGAATGGAGACGGAAATATGGATGTGAGCTTATAAGCAATGTCCAACACGCTAGCTAGATGATATGCAATCAGGAAGTGACAGAGTGCTGAGCCATTTGACAACTGTGCAGCTGGCAACTACCTATTCCTGATGCGGATGCCAACACCTTTCAAACTATAGTCTGTTTCAAAAAGATTTACAATCAGGTTTGGGTCTTAAAAAGTGTGAAGATAAGGGAAATTTGGACAACAAAGTACATAGAATGGCTTGTTAGGACACGGCAAATTGTTCTGTGAAGGTTTCGGAACAATTGGATTCGAATTTCGGCCAGGTTTCCGGCCTTTTCCCATGGTTTACAATTTGCTCACAGCGCTCAGGAAGATTCTATCATTGATTGTGCTGCGGAGGATCAACAAGGACGTCAACAACTTCGTTGCACACACACAGAGTGGTTTCCGCCCCAGCAGAAGCACCACAGATGTTGTGTGGTCATACCGATGGTTGGCGGCTCGATGCCAACGCTATCGCTGTGCGCTGGATATCCTAGGCATTGATATGTCAAAAGCGTTTGACTGTATAAGCAGGCCACGGCTCATCTCGGTGCTGGGATCGTTCTTGCAGCCGGATGAAATCCGAATGATCAGTTACCTCCTCCAGGACACCGTACTGCGGGTTGTACTCCCATCCGCTAAGGGCCCGTCATTCCCCACTCTCCGCGGCACACCCCAAGGTGACTCGTTGTCTCCTGTTCTTTTCATTGTGTACCTTGAGGGTGCGCTGCGTGATGTCCGGCCTCTTCTTCTACCACGTCCCCCTGCCGATATCTCCCTGGGGTTACCAACTGAAACTGCCTACGCCGACGATGTGGATTTCGTGACTACTGATGGTGAGAGGCTGAGGACCCTCCTTCCAACCATATCCAACAAGCTCCTCGAATGGGATTTGAAAGTGAATGAGACCAAAACAGAGCACACGCACATCGAACGGCACACTGATCGCATCGAGGAGGAGTGGCGAACCACCAAGAAACTCGGGTCCCTATTAGGTGATGCCGAGGATATGCTACGGCGACAGCAACTGGCAACTGTTGCCTTTGGTAAACTCTGGACGCTGTGGATCCGTAGGTCGCTAGTTTCGGAGGATCTCCGCATCCGGCTCTATAATGCCTTTGTACTCCCTGTACTCTGCTACAATTGTGCAACATGGGCACCAACGAAACAGCAGCTGAGCCGTATTGAGGCCTTCCACCGAAAACAGCTGCGGGCGCTAATCGGCATTGTGTTCCCGAATCGGATTAGGAACGAGAGGCTCTATGAGCGTACCGGCGCGGTTCCTCTCCGCATTATCATCTTGAGAGCTAGGTGGAGGCTCTTTGGGCACGTCCTCCGGCTCCCGGCTGACTCCCCACCATCCCTGGCCATGGGAGCGTACTTCGCAGAGCCTCGTCCAGCGGGCTGGAGGGGACGACCAAGACACACACTACCGACGCTACTACAAGATGATGCCAAGCGGATTGGACTTTCCTTGTCAAGCAAAGTCGATCTGGAGGCGTTCCGTGCCCTTGCTGCTGACCGAAGCGGTTGGGTGGGCATCTGTGCCCGAGTGGTGTCGGCACCCTAGTTTTTGTCTTCTTTTCGCATATTTCTTCTTTTTTTTGAAACTGTTATGGTCTTTTGTATCTATTCGAAGTGGCTTATGCGAACATTTTTGGCTGGTTTGCATGATTCGCATGCCCATTAATGCAGCTGCAGGCCATGCTGATGTCTACGCGAACAAGCACATAATAATAATAATAATAATTACAATTTGCCCAGGAAGCCAGTATCGATTTTTTATTAAAACCCACGATTTATCTTTTCCTTTTTGGCCTTGTAGTTATGAATGCTGCCTGCTGACCATGAAGTTGTGAGTTCAAATCCCAACCTACCCTCAAGTCAAACTTTTTTTCTTCATTGTTTTGGTGATCAAGCTGGTACAGGACAAAGAAGATGGCTGCACCAAACGACTTGTTGTTGTTGTTGGAGCTCGCGCTTCCTGCCGAACTGACTGACACTTGACTGGCTCACGCCATGTGAACACACCCACAACACTGCAATAGTGTAAGTGAATATGGAAGTCATCGCGCTGTAGCTTTTTGAGATTTATTCTAGTATTTCAAGATCGCCAATTTATTTGAATTTAGCAGTCAACGCCGTCTTCTATCAGCGTTCACAAGCGTCTGCTTTTCTCAAAAATGTCGTCGAAGTCACACGGATAGCTTTGCCAAGTCATGGCCTTGGAAATGAGTCCGTGTCGATGTCGTTTTCGTCAGACGGTGAGTACTGAAATTGCATCGCAGCTCAAAGAAACTATTTTGGTCACAAAACGAATTGGGACCCATGTCGCTCGTCAACATTTACAACACTTTCGTTTCGACATATACATGTCCTCTCTGACTCCATTATCGATACGAGGAAGAACTCGTTTGTTGTAAACCAGACGACAGACGTACATGACTGTATCAACGTGAGTGAGTTGCCATTTTTCCTGCTTTCGCGTTGAATATTTCTTCGAGTTCACAGTGAGTTTTTCCAGGCAGCGCTCGAGTGCTCATACGGTAAGACGCCAAACTCCGCGGGCGATCGCCAGGATTGCAAATCTTTTTGAAATGGACTGTAGCAAAGATAATCCTCTTTCTATAGCTCTCGCAGATGTTGTCCGCATGTTTCTATTTCATCCTTTCCCTACTATAATAGATGGCTTACATTCATAGTAATATTCATGTTATACTTAGCGGATTCTTTCACTCCTTCGAAATAGTGATTGTTTGTCTTGTTGGCCGATAACAGCGATATAATGCAACTGATGATAATCACGGGAGTTATTGGATTCCTTTAGAATACAACCGCCTCGCCACAGTGTGTGTACCGTTGGTATGACTACACACATCATTTTACACCGAGAAACTGTCGAAGTGTACGCTGTGTACTTACGCAGACATCTAGGAAGGGGTTTAAGCTGAGTCTCGTCAAATCCGCGATATTCGCAGACTGGCATTGCGCCTCCTGCAATACTGTATCCATTTTCGCATGAATAACGAGCATATTGAGAATAGAACACACGAGATTTTTCTCTACGTCCGTGTAGGATATCTGTTACGTTGCAGGTGAAAGCTGAACATCGGAGAGAAACAGAAAAGACAGAGTTTGTGATGGAAATGGCATGATGCTGCTGACACTACTAAAATTAATTGGAAGAGAAGTGTCCCTCTTACTTCCTTGATACTACACTCGTAGCGTGGACAGAGCGCACTTCCAGGTGAACAGTCAACAGTTGTGTACTGCTCGGCTTCTCAAAATGGACGTGGCAGTGTTTCTTGCTCGTGTCCCTTTAACCCATTGAGGGCTACACGGCCTTTTATCTGAGACTCTGAAGAAAATGCTAAAAATATGGCCAATGTACAGCTCCACAACTTCATAATCTAAGAAACTAGGTTGTTGAACTCTTGTGAAATGTTGACCAAGGCTATAATCATCATGCTGACCAACTCGATATAGATCCTAGAAAGGGGAACAAAATGCTATATGACACGTAAGTTCATCCAAATTGCGTAAAATACGAAAAAGTCGCCAATTTGAGTCGAATCACCGGACGAAAAAGAAGAAAAAAAGTATCCAAGCGGGATTCGTACCCGAAACCTCTCGTTTTGAATGCAGGAAATGTACCGCTCGACTCTGGGGTCTCTTGCAACCCTACGCTGGAACTCGGAGCTTAGTACAGTAGGATAGCCTGTCAGCCCGAGTATATTCGGGCTCAGCGCCCTGACGTCATCCTGAATCCCGAATATATTCGGGCTCAGCAGTCAATGGGTTAAAAGTTTGAATTTTGAATATTGTATCCAAAGCAACGCTGGCGTATCCAAAGCAACAATACCATGTAGAATCGGCAAGATGATTTCCCCAACATATTTTAACTGAATAATGTCATTCGAGATCACTTGCACTTGTAGTCACTTGAGGACACCTGCTGGAAACTGACTGAATATTACCAGTACAGGAACACCTGTCCCAGAAGGCCACTGGAACCAGGACCCAGGGAGGCTCTTTCCAGTCAAATGACCCTTGATAAGGAGACCAACTGGTAACCGAGAACAGATTCTGAAGGTCCCTTGAGAGGTCGTCTTAGACAGGTTTCACTGTATAAAAGAACAGTGACCTGCAATCGTCACCGGCCTGAGTAAGTGCAGTCTGCAAAACGGCACTCATTCTCAAGTCACCATCCAAGCACATTCGTGCAGCAAATCTCACCTGGCTGGAGGCAGTGCACATTGCCAAGCTGAAGCCTGAACTGTGTGTGAAAAAGAAGTACCGGTATGTGCGAAAGTTGCCAATGCTTTGACAGTGTTACTGTAGTACCGTGGTCCCAACTGCTGTCTAGTACACGTGCTAGGAACATTCATTGTTTCACTATAATTATGGTAGTGCTACAGCATTTGGTCAATAATTTTTTACTCTGATCACAGCTGACAGGAAAAGCCAAAAAAATAGCATAGTGGGAGCATAGTGTTGGTGAGGCTGCGTGAGGGTAAGCACGACACAGGTTGTTTCGGGAACGGACTTGAAGTTCATTTGCCAGATGGTGTGCGTGAGCATTACATCTGCTGTGCTCCCTTTTGTGTCGCAGACCAAGTACCTTGGCTTGATTATAGACGATCACCTGACTTGGAGTAGCCACGTTATGCATATCTGTAAAACGTCTCGACACTGAGGTTATAGGAGCACTGTGGAGAAATCGGAAGTGTCTCTCTCTGCAGTCGAACGAAAGGCCTACGCATCCATGATAATAGAGTCCAGGATCCGCTATGGATGCTCACCTTTCTTTGGCTCTCTCTCCTAGGCTAACGAGGAGAGACTTCAAATCCCTGAAGGGCCCTGCGAGCCGTGTACAACCTGAGCTCTCGTACCCATATGATTCCCGTGTATGCGGAACACAACCTGCTTCATGTACACGCCTGAGCTTTTGCGTGAGACAACATGCTCGCTGGTCTACCATTGCCTACATTCCACCATGGAGCAGCCGCTGGTCAGCGCATTATTTGGAGATTTTGTCACTCCGTCCAATGCTGTGTCAAGTCTGCAGCAAGCCCAACTTTCCTGGGAGGAACACCTCAAGCAGAAGTTTCGTACAGGCAACTTGCGGGACAAACAGTGGTGGAGTACCATTAAAGCCGCCGCCGGGAAGCATCGACACTCTGACATTCAGCGTGGACATCTCACAGCCGGATCCAAGGCTGAGTGCTTCGGTTACTACTTCTCGCAGAAGTGCAGTCTTGGTGGTGACGACTTGAGTCCCACTGACATTCCAGACCATATTCCGCCTACACCATATCAGCTCATGGACGTGAACTTCAGGGTTCCCATTGTCCGTAAACACTTGTCCAGAGTCGACCCAGGGAAGGCTACCAGCCCTGGCCAAATTCCAGCTCCTGTTCTTATGGAATGCTGCCATGAATTAGTACGTCCCCTGTCAAATTTCTTCTCGCTCTGCTTGCTCTGCGTATTTACCACCATCTCAAAGTGCCGTCCGAAACGAGCACGAACAGCATCCGCATCTTGGATCAAGTTGCCGTTCTCATCCAGCACAGCAGATGTTTGCTTTGAAGTTCTGCCCTTCTCAATTTCCTGCAGCTTCCGGATGCACTTCCAGCATGTGCGCCCATCTTTCTGAGCCTCCTCAGCATCACGCACTACCTCTGATATCCAGTTCTCCTTCGCCATCCGTACAGCCTTTGCCACTGTACGTTGTGCCTGTCGAAAGGCTTTCCGAGTATCAACTGTATCGTTTGACAACAACGCTTGATGGCAGGGATTCTTGGCATCAATGAGCGGCTCAAGAGTCGAGCTGCTCTCCAAGAACCAGTCTGGTTGAACACGTTTACCAAAACCAATGATGTCAGAGGCAGCAGACGTAACAGCGTCACGGATGCCAGACCACTCTAGATCTATAGACTCCACCGACTCTCTGGGCACTGCAGAATCCCTGGCCAGACGCTCCTGAACAATATCCTGGAAAGCTGTACAAACATCAGTGTTCCGCAGACTCCTCACGTCAAAACGCTTCCGGTTGCCGCTGCCACTTGTACGCCCATTGCGCGGTGGAGCACCATGAGCCAAACGTGCACGGATCATGTAGTGATCAGACCAAAATGACGCGCCACGCATGACAGAGACATCCTGACAGTATACGTGCTGATCCTGTCGCATAATGACATAATCAATCAGGTGTGGTTGACGTGTGGCAGGATGAGTCCAGGTTCCACGCTTGCGTAGCTTCTTCCGAAACCAGGTATTCAAAACGCATAGTGAGTTCCTCGCGCAGAACAACAATAAATCCTCACCAGCCTGATTAAATTGACCAAGACCAAAGTCACCAATGATCTGATCCCAGGGGGCCTATCGCCATACCTGTCCTGAAAATTACCAGTTCCCCGTGACCCTACTCTGGCGTTGAAATCGCCCAGGAGTACAAAGATGTCGTTACGGTTGACTTTGTCAACGATCGCCTGTAGGTGTCTATGAAATGTCTCCTTCACGCTGAATGTCGCTTTGTTGGTGGGCGCATAGATGTTGATAACCACTGATCACGGTGACATTGATCTCCGCGGGGTAGTTTGTCCCCCTTCGCGTGAAGTAGGATACGAGCCGTGACGATGCGCGAGCTTACGGGGTCCCACTGTTCTCCGCCACGCCGCCATGCCGCCGACATCTCTGGATTCATCCAAATTCCAACACCCTTGTTCCGTCGGGCTGGTTCTCCCCCTGTTGGGATTGGGCGACCAGAATGAACGAAGGTACAATTGCCGATGGGCCACATCACTGCCGAACCACTTCGTCTCTTGAATTCCCGCAACTCCGACACGGAATTTTACGAGTTCCGCCGACAAAAAGTCCAGACCTCTGTCCACTCGCGACACTGACTTGTTTTTCCTACATATCCTGGCATCACCTGTGTCCTCTACAAGGGACTGGACATTCCAGCTCGCCATAAAGAGAGTCTCTCGCTCCTTCCTCGACTTCCTCATCGTCCTCATCCTCGTCCACAACTATTCGAAAATTTGAAAATGTTTCAAACAAGAAAGACTGCCTCGTCTCGCTTGTGCTTGTGTACCTACTCCCAGCAGAGCGCAAATCCACTGGGACATGCTGCAGCAACCAAGGCCTGGTCTACACCACACAGCCATGGCTGCAAACGCAGCTATCCTTCCATTTCGGTCAAAGCCCAGAAACGTGCAACCGACCTCTTCAACTACAACAGCTTGACGATTGTAACAACTTGCCCCGCACTGATCCGGTGTCCAGCCAGCGGCCTGAGAAACAGCGAATGTGGTACCAGTGTACAAGAAGGCCTCTCGCTCCCTGCCAGCAAACTATCGCCCGGTATCCCCCTTGTCCATCTGCTCCAAGGTCATGGAATGAATCATCACCAGCTAGTAAAATACCTTGAGCGCCACCCCCTCCTCTATGCACGCCAATTTGGCTTCAGACGAGGCCGAGGAACAGCCGACCTCCTCGCTGCCTTGAATCATGAGTGGACTCTCACCACTGGAAGTGGAAGATGCTCAATGGTTCTTGCGGTCGATATAGCAGGCGCCTTCGACAAGGTTTCACACATCGGAGTCACCTACAAGCTGCAGACACCCGGCGTCCGTGGCAGAGCCCGGACCTGGCTGACAGATTATTTGTCCCTCAGGAAGCTACAGGCTGTTGTGAATGGCCCGAGTTTGTCCCCCTTACCCTATATAGTCGGGAGTACCCCAGGGGAGCATACAGGGGCCAACTCTGTTCCTCATCTATATAAGCGGTGCGGAGCAGTGCCTAGCTCCTGGATGTTCACTGGCCAAATTCGCCGATGATACAACGGTCTACACTATTGGATCACCGGAACTGCTCCCAAACAGTAAGAAAAGCTTACAAGCCACCCTGGATGCGCTCCATGACTGGGGCAAGAAGTGGCGAATCAGGTTTGAGCCCACAAAGTCACAGCTCATGACCTTAGCACATCAGCTGCACAGGTGGCCTATCAGGGACCTCACGTTTGGAGATCACACTGTGTCTGAGCTATCGGAGGTGAAACTCCTCGGCATCACATTTGACTCGGGCCTCTCCTTCAAGACCCACCTCCACAACACAGCACTCAAGGCGAAGGCTTGCTTGGGCTTCCTGCGCAAAGCTGCTCACGTACACGATGGTGCTGGTAAACGATCTGTCTACAGAGGTTTTGTGAGGCCGGTCCTAGAATATGCGCCATTGGTATGGGTGGGAGCAGCTTCAAGCCATCTGCGCCTTCTCGATCGAGTGCAGAGACGCGCCTTCCACATTCTTGGCCCTGATATCCTCCTCCAGAGTTTGGCAGCAAGGAGATTAGTCACCGCCCTCAGCAATATTGTATAACCTGATGTGTCTGTCAGGGCCACCGCAACTAACGTCGCTGATCCCCCCCCCCCCCTCCCCACTGCTTTCTCCACCAACATGTCCTCGAACTCGGTCCGACCACTCGGTGCGCTACTAGTCTCAGCTACAGAACGTCCTCCTGGCTTCCTCTCCTGATTACGTGCGACGATGCTTTCGCTACAGCATCATTGACGAGTGTAACAACTTGCCCCAAACTGTGCTGCAGTCTCCACCACGCCTGACGTCACTCCAGTCGTTCAAGGGCAAGGTGCATCAGCACCTACAGCAAAGCCGCTGGTATTGGGCTACAGACTCGCTGTAACACCCCATAATATATTTTATCCACAATCAGCTCCCTTCCCCTCGCTTATCTATTTGCATGTGTTTCGTAATCCCGTCCATGGTGCGCTGGATAGCGCTAACGCCGAGACCCTAGGTCGGCGTTGCTAGTCCCGCCTCATCGGCACAGGCTCCCTGAGAGCCCCTACTAGTACATTGTCTGTCTTTCTCCTTTGTTGTCTCGATCATTATTTTCTGTTATCTTCTTCTTCGCCTCTCTTTGGTGCATTAGGTAAAAATAACAAAAATAAAAAAAACTAGGGCTGGCCAAGCGCGCGGCACCCAACAACATCTGCTGCAGCTTCCAGCCAGAACCCATCCCGTGTCTCTTTCTGCTGCACGCGTTTGGAACAGTCTTCCACCTGATGCGAGAAACATCACGTCCCCCTCCAGTTCAAGGGTGTGTTGCACGTGTATTTTCTTACTGTAGCATGAACAGCAACCCCCTCCCCTGTCATGAGTACTAGCAAGAGTACATAACCCCCCAGAGTGTGCAAGGCCGATCCAGCTCTGCATAGGGTCTTGGTCGAAGGGAATCGGATCTTCTGATGTCATGCGTACACTCCACACCAGCGCAAGGCCGGTCTCAAAGCAGGGCACCATTGTTTTTGATCCGAGAGTGCCCGCGACTTCCCGGGTTTCCCTCAGATGTGTACGGTACTATGACGCAAAGATCCGATTCCGCTCGACCAAGATCCTATGCACAGGTGGATCAGGCGTTGCACACTCTGGGGGGTTATGTACTCTTGGTACTAGTAATCCTGATGTTCAGATACATGCTGAGGCTAGCTGTATGCTCAGTCTTCGGCTAGCTGTATGCTCCGTCTATACAGTCTCGATCTGATCTTATTTCTTTTCATTTTTCTCTTTTTCTTTCCTAATTGTTTTACTGCCAGAAGTCGTCTTCATATAAGGAGGCAGATATGCCTGTTTGTTGTACGACTTTAAATAAATCCAACCAGCCAACCAACCTTCTCTGGAACGCACTACGGGTGCAGTGGACTGGTCTGTGTTGGGGCTGCTAGGGTGACAACATTCTCTGTAGAAGGGGATGAGCATCCGGACAATACATCTTGCACAGGAGGCAAAGTGCTGCAACCATCCCACGAAGAGCAAGACTCGGCAGCCAACACATTGGGGCTCGAATGGCCCGGGCTTGCACACGGTGGAGTCTTGCAAGATGGGATGAGGCCGCTCCCATCCAGACAACGGGGCAGTATTCCATCACTGGGCGCACAAAAGCATTGTAGGTTTGGATGCGACCGGGCACGTCTAAGAGGTGGAAAGCCTTACACAAAGCACCAACTCCCGCCGCCAAGTCTCTGTGTTGCCCGAAGGGCTACGGTATGAAGGTGCCGCCGGAATGTAACCTGAGCTGACTATCGAAACAAGATGCCCAAGGATTTTGTGCTCCTCTTGTTCCGTCACGTTACATCCTTTGAAATCAATCCGTGACATGTCCCATTGGGTGCGCTGGCAGCTGACAGTCAGTGCCTGGGATTTGGCTGTTTCAAATTTCATCTTCCATTCTTGAATGATGCACACGATGAACGCGAGAAACTCGGGTGCACTGGCTGCCCTGTAAATTTTGGCCACCTTTCACTAGTGTTTCAGCCTTTGTTGATTTGTTGTTGTGGATGTTTTCTTCTTTCTAGTCATGGTGGGCTGCTGTTCAGCAAGTGACGCTTCGTAGCGGCTTCATTCGAACTTCTGTGAGGGCAGGAATTATTCTCATCTCCCAGTGCTGGTACCGTAGCGAAACGGGTATGTGCGCTTTCCTGCCATCAGGTTGGATTCGGCTTGTGCATGGCCGTTGGAGAGGTCAACATTTGAATATTTACCCAAGTGATATTAAGAGGACAACTTTATCCAAGAGCACTTGTCGGCGCTTGGGGACATGCCGTATCAGACTAGGGTGGTGGTCTACCCCCAATTTCAGGACGTAACCCCGCTGCTACTGGCCCTTGAAGATGGCCTTCGTAATGGCCGCCATTGGACAGCCTGATTTGATCGATTCGTTGAAGGGACTCAGCAAATCGCCAATGGAAATTTGGATGGCTAAGCACTACTACAGTGCATTTCAAAACTATAGACGCGTAGGGTTTTCGAAATATTTCAAATTTGGCTGGAACTTTTTGAGAATAGTTTTCGGAATATTGCTCAGGATCGCTCCACAATTACTCTCATATAGTTTCTATAGGATTGGATAACAGATGCCCAATTTGGAAAAATTTATGCACAAAGTGATCACAGATTTTATGTGGTATAGATGCTGGCATAACGGTTTTTGCCTAGGTACGCGTCTATATTTTGAAATGGACTGTAGTCGCCGAGATGTTGTCGGAAAGCTTGCCGTTGGCTCGCACCTTCACAATCAAAACCACCGTGAAGGGACTTAAAACCTAGCCTATCAAGCACATCAGAGCGCTGTGCGGGGAATGGAGTGATACTCCTTCTGGAGATTCACAAACAAGACGGAATGAGAGGTGCTGTGCCCAATGGTCTTCTCCATTAGTTGGCGTGCATAGAAAGTCATGCCCATTCAACCTCGACTTTGCCGAAAATCGCACTGAGAATCCGATAGAATTTCCTTAACCACAACCTGTAAACGATACTGAATATCCCCGTAAAACACCTATCCAGCGACATCCAGTAAGCTGATGCCCCGCCAGTTATCGCAGGAGCGAAGGTCACCTTTCTTGGGGACAGGGACCACCACCATCGCATCCCCCCCCCCTCCCCCCACACGCACATAAGCACACACACACACCCACACACATGGGCAATGGAACTTGCAGCTGTGAATACCGTTAAAATCGATCACTTGCATGAAGCAAGGTGAACTCGCGCAAATCCCCAACGCAAATGTGCAGCGTTAACTTCAACCATTCAATGTGTGTGAAAGCAATCCTGAGCAGAGTGTTGACAATGGATTTGGTCTCGTCACATCATCTTACCCTCCTCCCACACCTCCCCTTGTCCCTCAAGAACTCAAAAATCGACTGACAACTTACATGTTACACGGAAAACCACTGGCTGGGTATATGCAGAGGGGTATCTGCTATTCGATGTCATACTGCGCACCCTATAGTAAAAGCGGGTTGATCTGACATTTGGAAGTGTCAACGTTCTGGCGGACGTGATGATCTCCTTGGTTACGGGGAGGCGCCCCGTGGAAGTAGTTGGGCCAATTTGCACCCTTATATTTGACGTGGGGTTAAGCGACGGTAAAGAGAAGGCCACCGTTGCATTTTGTGGGTCGTATCCGGTTACAGTTATGCTGACAAACGGGAAACTTGGCAAGGTGTAGACAGGATAGCCTGTAGGGACAGGAGACGAGATCATGAACACAGGAATTATCATTGCGTACAGATGACGGTCAGGGACGTAATTGGTCCCCCTTTTAGAGGGGGGGGCACGGCTGCATACCATTGTTAGGTACCTCCGCCCGTACAGTATATCCTTTTCCCCTAGCTGGCTGCATGCACCCGTACTACGTCATTCTCACCTTTCGTTCCGTTGGCCTGGGTAGCTACTTGCGCACCCATGTTGGCCAAAGCTACCCAGGCCCTTTATATTGCGTCGCTCTCTTCAATAATCTCTCTCTCTTAAATAATCACCATGTAGTCGTTTCGTTCGTCTTGGTCTCTTGTCCCGTTTCTAATAACTGTCATTACCAACCTCCTTGTTCCCGTTGTTAGTCCCTTGTTGGACTCAACACAATGTATGCGTGGGATGGCTGATGCATGCATGTCATTCATGGTCAATATAATTTCATTATGCATGCTGAACCTAGGTCGAAATATTTAGGGGGTGTATGCGTGTACCCCGTGCCCCGTGCGGGCTGGCGCGCCTCACAGGGATACAATTACATACGAGTGGCTAACCGTCACGTTCCATGCAAACAGGCGTGTCTAGTGAGCTTACATCCGTGCATGTGTATATCACATGCACGGATGGAAGACTGTTATGTCTGAGAAAACCAGAACGGATGTGCAAGTCGATCTCTCAGATTTCGCTCAAATTTTGCAGGTAGGTTTGCTTTGGGGTGTAGATCGACATTCCAAAGACCGCGCAAAATCTTTTGAAGGGAACCATGAAATTGGCATACCGCTCAATATTGCCATGATTTATGGGTCTACAAACGAGCCAGGGCACAGCGTGACGATGACAGATGACGAGGGCAATCATCCCTTGACGCCACAAATGATCGTCATGAAAATAGCCAAATTACAAGCGCTGATAAAAGCAGCGAGCTACGTCCTCAACTAGCAAACGCTATACACCGGCAGACAGTAGAACACCTCTTCTAGCACTGAGGACATATCCCCCATCATCCTTTTGGGGTTTTCTTGAAATAAACAATTTTGAATTTTTCCACTCGACCATTCTGAAATACGTCCAAACTCATACCTGCGCAGGAAAGCTCGCCCCTCTGCGACGTCTAGTCAGCAATATCTACTCCAACACCACTCCCAATGCTGCAGAACAAAGTGTAATGTTGACTCTGACAAGGAAAAGCAGCGGTGATCACTTGTCACTCCAAACGACAAGCTTCTCCTTCCGCTACCGACATTTTTCGGTGCAACAGTTGATGCAAAAGTGACTGAATTTTTGGGTGCAGTTTTTGGATTTTACTGCAAGAGGAATGATGCTCAACTTTTACGTAGTGCGGAACCTCTCCTTTCTCAAGAATTGCTGAAGGTAGGCGCAAGGCGTGATCTGAATAGCTTCCTTGTGTAGTGTGTGCTGGTCTTTTCCAGAAATATGTTGGCTCTTAAAGGGTTAACTTAATCGTAGTCGATACACACCGAGGACCAAAATTAATGATCTATCTAGGAGCTTATTGCCGTGACAGAGCAATACAGAGCGACCCGATGGAATCCGATCGTGTGAATCAGTGTGCTATACCGGGTGCTATTGTAGTGTCTGCACGGAATTCTTCCGGTTTAACTTTCGTTCCGTGATTTTGTAAGTTTGTGCATTTCTCAAGCTTCGTTCGTTGAATTTAACAACCAAGATCAGGCTATTCGTCGCAACACCCATGGCCAAGCCACGCACCTTCTACAAGTACCTTTTATTCGCGGCCCTGCTGGGCGGTCGCTGATACAGTTTATGGGCAGCATTGGAGACGCTGTAGGTCAAGGTCCGTGGTTTGCGCAGCAGTGAAAGCGTCATAGTCCAGGGGCCGGACGAAGAGGGAGTCCACTGAGATGGAACAGAACAGAGCATCAGCAACACAGATTTCGGTGCCGGAGATGTGCCGTAGATCAGTGGTGAGTTCGCTGATGTAAGCCAAGTGCCGGCATTCGTGGGGGGAGCGCGTTGGCGAATGTACACGCATCGCATAGATAAAGGTATTGTGGTCCGTGAGAATGAAGAACTCTCGACCCTCGAGACAATGCCGAAAGTTCCGGACGGCATGATACATCGTGAGCAGCTCTCGACCGAAGGTGCTGTACCGCGTCTCAGCAGGCTGGAGACTACGGCTGGAGAATGCTAGGGGCTGCCATGTGTTTTGTACCTGTTGTTGGAGGACAGCGCCAATGGCAACATATGATGCATCAACAGCAAGGCTGAGGGGAGCATCAGCAAAAGGATGAATGAGTAGCGTCGCCTGTGCGACAGCGTCCTTAGTGGCCTGAAAGGCGTAGAGTGCCTCAGGAGAGAAGCTGAGTGCAGCGTTGGCGGGCTTGGCCGAGCGAATCAGCAAGCAGAGAGGTGGCACATTGTGGGACAAATCGTCTGTAGAAGTTGAGGAATCTCTGCAGTTGACGAACAGAGGTAGGCTGCTCAGAGGCTTGAATAGCAGCAACACGATCGGGCAGCGGAGCGATGCCAGCCAGGGAGACATGATGCCCGAGGAAGTTGAGACTCGACTTGGCAAACGCACACTTGTGTGATTGAATGAACAACCCGTGCTCTAAGAGACGCTGAAATAACTTACGGAGATGTACACGATTTTCGTCGAGAGAATGACTGGCGATTAGGAGATGGTCAATGTAGCCGTGAACAAACGACAAACCGCGGAGGACTTGGTCAAAGAAGCGCTGGAAACTCTGTGCAGCAGTGCGCAGGCCGAATGGCATCCGAAGGTACTTCAACAGGCCAAATGGCATTGTGATGGCAGTTTTCGGGACGTCTTTAGGATGGACGGGCACTTGATGGTATGCCTTGACCAGGTCGAGCTTGGTGAAGGCCGTGCAGCCAGCAAGGTTAGCGGCGAAATCGTGAAGGTGAGGAATCAGGTAGTGGTCAGGCTCAGTGACGGCGTTCAGGGCGCGATCATCGCCACAGGGGCGCCAGTCTCCGGACTTCTTCTGAACCAAGTGCAGAGGAGAAGTCCAAGGACTAGATGATGGCTGGATGATACCCTGTTGGGTCAAGACGTCAAACTCAGCGCGAGCAGCTGTGAGCTTGTCTGGTGACAGACGACGGGGGCGGACAAACTGAGGTTGGCCGTGGGTGGTAATCACATGCTGAATGCTGTGCTTTACAGGGCCCAGAGCAACATTGGCCTGTGGCAGCAACTCAGTAGAGTCACGTAGAATAGCAGTGCCCAGAGAGTCAGTTGCAGGCATAGCGAGGACAGGACTGATGGGCACAGTAGAGTCGAGGAGACCAGCAGAAGAAAGTTTGGTCCGGGAATCATGCAGACAGCGATGCTCCAGGTCGACAAGTAGGCGGCTAAGGCCGTGGTGGGCTACTAAGTCTGTCCCCAGGATAGGCGAGTTGACGTCTGCAATGACACCGAAGGTGCGAATAGGTGTGCCATTATTGCAATGACAAGAAGCTGTGTTTTCCTCGACTATAAGAAAGCTTTTGATCGTGTGGATCATCAAGCATTGCTAAATGCATTTGAAGGAATTGCTGATAGACAAGCAGTCGACTGGCTCCGAAGCTTCTTATCTGAGCGGAGGTTGTCTGTAAGGTTGGAAGGACAATATTCCGAGGCCAAGGGCCTCACCTGTAGAGTCCCGCAGGGATCGCATCTTGCTCCAACCCTCTTCTTATTATTTGTTAATTCCCTGCCCTCATCACTCACCAACTGCACCCCATACTTATTTGCTGACGATGTCACTCTCCTGTATGTACATGATAACACGAATTCCCTGCAGTGGATCCAATCTCGTCTAGAGAGCGACCTTAGTTTCTGCCTGCCAACTATGGGCGAGCAACGTCGGTGGAGAGTTCTCACCAGCCAAAACGACTCAGATCCGTAACTACAGTAACGACCACCCTATCCAGCTCTCTTCCCAACCTATCACCATCGTTGAAGCTGCGAAGCATGTAGGAGTGTATTTAACACCCGACCAGTCCAACACCATCCACCTTCAGACCATCCTGAAAACCTTCCAACGTCCTGTTATTTTGCTATGCTTCATGGGACAGCATCTTGCCCCCACAGCCTTTCTACTTCTATATAAAGGTTTTGTCCGACCTGCCCTGGAACACGCCACCTCGGCCTGGTCCTATGCCATCACCAAAGCTGAGCTGGAGCGTTTAAATATTTTACAAGCCAGAGTAGCTAGGAAGTATTTGCTACGTAAAAAATTCAATGTAGATAGATGCGAAACGAAATCCCAGTTAAATGTCCTTTGTGACTTAGAGTCCTTGCACTTTCGCAGACAAGTATCAGCTCTTGTTACTCTATTTAAACTCATACATATATCTCCAGAACACCTCCAACATTTTCACCTTTCACTGTCTTCAAGTCCAAGAAGACGAAACAAACTGAACATCAATTATCACAGTGTGCGTTTTTCTTCCCTCTTTTCCAACAAAGCTGCAATGCTACGGAACTGCCTACCGCCTCCTCTTACCTCTGTAACCAGCCTCCCCGAATTCAAGCATTCTTTCTATCAGCATTTTCGCCGATATATTCATTACACTGACAGTATCCCAACTCCTTAATTACCAGATTGTGTATGCCTCGATCTATTTCCTTAGCCTATCCTCGATTAACTGCTCCCTGTACATAAAGTTGTCATTTCATTGTACTTGCAGGAGATCCCCTCGACAGGCCCAAAGCCTTTGGGAAATCCTTAATATAATAAAATACAAAATACAAATTAGCAGCCTGGAGCTGCACCACCGATGGCGGGCTGGACTTGTCACTACCACGGGGTGGGATGACACTCACTGCCGCACCCGTGTCAATCAGGTACGACAGGGTTGTGGCGGTATCGCGGATGAACAGCAGATGGCCGGGAGCAGTGAACGAGCCAGAGTTGATGGCCGCCTTCACTGCCTGGGTCCCCTGTTTTCCGACTGGAATTCTGTCTGAGATGTGCACCCCGGTCTGCAGTTGCGGGCACGAGTGCCGAACTTGTCGCTGTAAAAACACAAGCCATCCCGCCTCGGGCTACCACTCCGAGATGCAGAGCGGCTAGCAGAGCGGCTAGACGGCCGCGAACGATACAGGCGGTCAACGGCGGCATGAGCGCGGCAACTTGTGCACGCAACTCGCTCCTATCATCACTAGCCGCGGTGGTGGGCACTGGGGCGGAAGCCGGCATATTGGCAACTGTGGCTGGCCTGAGCGAGGGAGGAGAAACCCCCATAATGACGCTGCTGCTGGGAGGTCTCTGTGCGACGGATCAGAGTCGCCTTCATTGCGTCGTAGCACTGTTGAGCCGGTGGAGACAGGATGAGGTCGCGGACCTTGACAGCAACCTTGGGGCTCTAGGGCGCCGACGACAAACTCGAAACGGGTGGTTTGTCGTGTAATGGCCCGTGTGGCGAAAACTGCCTCCACCTGTGCGAACCACAGGGCAGTGTCCTTGGACCAGAAAGGCGGCAGCTTGAGGCTCACAGCACTCGTGGGAGCCAATAAAGCGTTGCCCGTAGGTGGTCGCAATGCATCATATGGATACGAGAGAGCTTGGAAGCTCAGGGCCCTACGCTATGCTTTTTTGCCTTGATGACCTAGGCAAAAAAAGTTATACATTTTTCATTTCTCCTATTTTTCAAAACATAACCTGGGATTCGAACACTTCGCATACATACTAATTCTTCCAAGTTGCTTCACGTTATGATCTTGCATTTGAAAGCCCTATTTGAATATTGTGGCCAGCCGTCTTTGATGGCACGGTACAGGATAGCGCCAAATGGAGGTCCATCCGCCACAAACACCAAATGAATATTATGGCCAACTCTTTGTGGCCAGCTGTCTTTGATGGTACGGTATGGTACGGGACAGATACGGGATAGCGCCAGACTGTGGTCCGCCCGCCACAAAAACCTGCCACAGACACCAAATTAAAGCTGTGTGGACCCTGGCTAGCGCCAGACGTTAATGAAGTAACGTCTTCTGCATAGCTACGGGAATTAAAATAATAATGGTAGGTAAACAACAGAGAGAAACACCCAACCTTTTTTTAAATAGGTTCCGTATAACGTAATTACTTGAGCAGGTTAGTTGCCAAGGCCTGATATTGTGCCTCGATGATCAGGCTCTCAGTGGTCTTCTTGATACCAGCCTTTGCCAGCCAACTCCAGGTGTTTTCGTTGGTCAGTTGTCCTGTTTGCCGGGCAAACTGTGCATGCAAGGGTTTCTGGGTTCACGCCAAGAGGTGTTCTTTTTGAAGCCCACACTTCACCACCTGTGAGGAGTCCGGTGGGGCATCCAGATGTGGCCACAGGATGGGCGCAGCCACCTTCAGGAGTTCCTCTTCTGACTGAAGCACATAACGCTGCAGAATGCTTTTCTCCATGGTGACAACATCATAAATACTTTACAAACCACGTCCACCCTCCTTGCGACTGACGTGCATACGGGCTAGATCAGCGTGTGGATGGAGAGCCCCATGCATAAGCTTGCGCGTTCTTCGGTCAGCGGATTTCAGCTCGTCTTGCGTCCATGCCAAGATATCAGCACTATACCGTATCAAAGTCACAGCTCATGTGTGGTTGGCTGTGATGATGTTGTGGTCGTTTAGAGCTGAGCGGAGTACTCGTCGCACACGCCACCTGTACTCCTGGAGGATCTTCGTCTTCATACCTGTTTGGTCCATACCTCCAGCTTCAAGGAATCCGTGGTATTTGTACGTTTCTTCTGGCTGTAGCGACCTGATAGATGAGCTGTCAGGCAATAGAATCTCCTAAGAGGCTGCATGCTTTCCTGCCTTTAGTACAACGGTCGCGCATTTTGCCACACCAAACTGCATGCCAATGTCTTGACTTCAGCCATGACCAGAGTGAACAAGAGATCGCAACCCCTTTTCATTCTTTGCATGCAGCTTGAGGTCATCCATGTATCGTGGACGTTGAGTTTGGTATGATTGAGTTTGGTATAGTTTTGGTCCTTGAAACAGTAGGCTGCTTCAGCCTTCCGTAAGGCCATGGTGATCGGTATGAGGCAGATGACGAACAGCAGTGGTGATAAGGAGCCACCCTGGAAAATCCTGCGTACACCAGTCACCCGGTCACCGCGCCAGCAGGCGGCAATTCTTTTCACACCAAGGTTCAACTCCAGTGACAGGAATGCACCCAAACAGGCTGTAAGTTGTACCCTGCGGGCACGGTGACCAGGTGACTGGTGTATGCAGGAGCCCGTGACGGCTTGTTCAACCATGTTTGATTGGGAATAAGGCCCGAACGCTGCATCGCAGCCCTTTCTGACCAAAACCAGTCGACTCAGCGTCCAAAAGACTACAACATATGGGCCAATCGCGGTCATCCGTGCATTTATAAGAACGAAATGTGGCCTTTAGGGACATTTTGCATACAAATCTCCATCCACTAGGGCGCAGTCACCCAGTTTCGCTGGAAGTGCGCGAGTTCGATTGGAAATAAAGGAGGAACGGTGCGTCTCAGCTTCCTCGGACCAAGAACATTCGACTCACCACCTCCGAGACTCCAACTGGTGAAAATTTGATTTCAGGCTTAAATTCCCCTTTCACCCTTTCAGGGTCACAGTGCTCTTACTGTGTCTGGTTCACTGTGATTCAGTGCATCAGTAAAATTGTGGAGATAGCAACAAAGATATTGCCACAACAATATTGTTTCTCAACGGATTTTCACAATTTACGGCTTGCTGGAAAGCTCTTTACAGCTGGCTGTTTTATCACGGCTTGTAAATTCATCTATTTTCAATGAGATCATGGTGAGGCGAGGCAATGCTGGCTTGTTCATGTACGCTGTGGCATGACTCGTTTTTAGACCCACAAATAATGTGATTTTCGGCCATTTTCGAGGGGTGCGGAAGTTTCAAGGTTCCCTTCAGAAACAGTTTCAGGGGCTTTGCACAGTCGATCTACACCCCCAAGAGAACCTACCTGCAAATTTAGAGAGAGACCGGAGAGATCGACTCGCACACATTAAACTTTGGTATTTTCAGACATGCTCTCTTCAAAAGAAACAATGTCCAGCCACAAAGAAAAGAATGAAAAATTGCAAGGGATCCCACACAGGGCAGGTCAAGAATCACCTTTTGGCTTCCGTGGGACGCCACCACACCTGACCAAAATAACAAATTTGACGGTTGGTTTGAGACTCAGTTATCATCCGTAGGAACGCCATCACCATGTCCACCATGTCCAGCTAGCCAAGGGCTAAACGAAATGTTTAGAACATGACCTGCGGTCGGAGAAACTCGGACTCCTCAGAAAGGTATGTAATCACAGGGATTGCTAAACCTGTTCGACTCGTCCGCTGACTAGAGCACAGCCACTTGCATACCTAGACGTTCTCCATTACCAGTCTGAAGGTGGGCAGGGTGAGAAATTATTGTCGATGTAAACTCTGTGTTCATAGTAAAAAGGCTGCTCACGAGATGGCAAAGTTCTAAATGCAGGCAAAAGGAAATAACCTCCAATATTGTGGATTTCCAACTATGGGGTCTGCGACTGCAGAACTTCACATCACGTGACGAACCTGTACACATTATTTGCAAGCCGTGCATGCTAGATGCAGGTTTGTACACATCCCATCCCTAATTTGGGTTCAATTCTCTTGTTGTCACCTTGCACTGCTTCCCTTTTGAACTCTGTCACGTGATATGAAGTTCACAGCACTGTGTAGGTTGTGCAGGCAATTGCACACTCTTGGGGGTTTTCTACTCTTGATGTGGGTGGCAAGCTCATGTTCTACAGTACAGCCTGACGGAGTCTCACCTGGTGGTGGGGTCCCGGTGTAGGCTAGGGAAATCGTGTAAATATCCCACGTGACCATGTCGATGCGTGATCGGAAATATGTGCCAGGGTGACCGACATCCATCACAATTTGGATTGGACTGTGTGTGAGGTGTGTCAGGTTGGACGTGAAATTGTACGTAACGAGCCACTCGTCATCTACCTGGTCGTAATACTCCACCGCTGCTAACAATTTCTGTATCCTGTACTGCATTGAGATACTGGTCAGGTTCGGAGTATGCACCATAACATCTGTAGCAGGAGAGAACACGAAACAGCATGTTGTACTGTGCTGGTCAATGAAGTCTAATCGCGTCTCAAGTACTGTACGAGCCCTGCGCCAGTTCGGATCCCAGTGTTCGCGGGTCCCATTGGTACCACGTCCAAGAGTAGTGCACTGCATGGTTTGCTGAGCATGATGAATTAACCACATCAAGTAACCACATCAACAATGCAGGAAGTGAAGAACCATGCGAGGTAAATATCCATTGTAAGTATGAAAGTGTTATTATGCCATGCCAACCAGCTATTATTACGTCATATATGAATCTACAAAAGTGAAGAGGTTCCGGGGTATGATTTTCCATGTCAAAATCCGTGTGGGCGCTACGGATTTTTTCCAGGCGTGCTCCACACGATTTTTCGGTACGGAGAATCCGTGTGGAATGGCTTTCACACGAACCATGTTTCGTATGGAGATTTTGCGTCATCGGGTGCAGAAAGATTTTTCGCGTACAAATTTGGTACGAGAAACATGGATTTTACGCGGGAAGTTTTGATTTCGGTACAAATTTTCAAAATAAAAAGGCATAGCGCGGGAATGTGACGTGTTTGCGATCGTAACCTAGGCAATGACGGCAAACACATAAGTTCCGTACTCCGGAACATTTCACTGTTAGAAAACGACGTGTAAAAAATCCGCAGCGCCTCTACGGATTTTGCCACGAAAAATCGTACTCCGGAACCTCTCTATTGTATAAATACATACCCACAGTATACCGTATAGGCGCGAATAGAAGCCCCGGGGCTCTATTTTTCCAGAAGACACATTGTGGGGTGGTAAGTTGAGAGAGGGCTTTATTCGAGAGGGGGCTCTATTTTTTAATAGAAATACCAATACTTATTTCACACTATTCATGCTGATCAGCACATGCAGTTTCTACATGTACACTCAATCATTGTACGGTAAAGTACCGGTAACTGCACTGCATGGCATGGACATTCCGCACTCGATTATAGCCCCGGGCTTTTATATGAGACGGGGTTTTATAATTCCGAATCCCTCTGACACACGGGCTCTATTTGAAGGGGAGGGGCGGGGGCGGGGGGGGGGGGAGGGGGCTTGTAATCGAGCGCGTACGGTAACTACAGCACGAAGATATTGAAATTACCAGAAGGCCTCCACAGCAAATGAAGGGCCTTAGGCTGTGTTTATATGAGAATTTTCAACCCGGGTCGAGTTCAGCCCGGGTTGAAAGTCTGTACGATAGACAAACTAAGTGAGCGTTTACATGACGGCAGTTGACCCGGGTCAAATACTGATATGCTGCCAAAAGTTCACTTCTAGTGTCCTGTATGATCACGTGAATACTTTCGCGCGAAATTTGCCTCTGTACTGCTATTCAAACCTGGCGCGAGATACGCATAGAAGTACGTTAGTATAATTTCTTCGACTCGGGGCGAAATTTCAACCGGGTCAAGCGCAATGTGTCATGTAAACGCGCCATGCATTTTGTGTACATGGCGGATTGAAATCTGACCTGGGTCGAAATCAACCCGGGTTGAAACACCTCATGTAAACAAAGCCTATGTGTTGTGAACCCTTCTGATTCTCTAAAAGTCAGGAACGAACGACGCACACGGCACGAGGATAATTATTTACTCTTTAACAGTATATTTCACTTGATCGACTAATAACAAACACTAAAACCACCAGGTAGTTATAGCGTGAAAATGACAGCATATACAGTCGTCCCTCTCTAATCCGGCACTTGCTTATCCAGCACCCTTGCAAACCAGCACACTTTCTTGCGAAACGGATATTTTCAGTTCATTTTCTACGCATTAATCCGGCACTTGAATTCCGTCCCCAGCAGCGATTTTCTGCAACAAATCACTCAAACTGTGCATAATTCGATTTTCTAATCCAGCAGTTGTACATCGCATACTGTCAGGGAGCATTCTAACATACACAACACATGTAACATACACTTGGGAATATCCTATGCTAGTGCATAAGATATTGCCAAGTGTATGCTATATACATGCATTCCACAAAGTACTTGGATTGACACAGAAAATCGCTACGTTTTGACGTACGACACAAACATGTATGTTATTAGGTGGGCCGGGTTGGAGGGCAGGATTTGATAATCCAGCATCCTTGTTTAAACAGCAGAAAATGACGTTGCAAAAGGTGCCGGATTAGAGAGGGACGACTGTATCAGAAAAGCATACACATACAACTACAGCGCACACAGCAAACGGCACATAGCGCATGTAGCGTATACCACGTCGTAAACATCAGCGGTACGTCGAATTGTTTATACATGGTTATGAGTCAATTGCCTTTTGGATAATTCGCCTAAAGTGTATATCCTCCCTATACTTTTTTTAAATCATTTGCCCTTGTCCAATCTGCTTCAAACTCTGTGTACACGGCCGTCAAATACAAGCAAATAATTTGCAACAGAAAAAATTAAAAAATAGTCAGATGCGGAGCCAAGGAAAAATAATATTAAATTGAAACAAGGTCATTATCTATAAAGCGAAACGATCATCGTGTGAAACTTCTGCTTGTTACCGCTGCTTGTCGCCCATCTAAATTGTCATAGTCGAAGTACAGTGCTGTTTTACTAAGGGTTCCGGTTTTGCATAATTCATGGTCGCGTAGCTACCCTCTTTATTGATCTTCGCATCTTTGAGACACACAAGTTGTGTGGAATGTTGCTTTGCGTCCTTGAATCGTGGTTGGATGATACTGGTTTTGCCGGTATCGTCATCGACATGCATGAACATCCGCCAATATCAAAACATGGAATGCCATCAGTGTTCAGCCCATCCACAGGACCAAGCTTCAATGAAGAACACACGCATGCATGTTCTATACACAGTCAGAGATCACACATGCCGGGGTATGCAGGGGCGTCAAACATGGTACGACCAATACCACCATAGCCATACCACTTTTCATCTAGAATGGTCCGCCGAGAGTAACTGTAGAGCGCTAAAACATGATCTAGTGGCCAAAAGATCCGATCTTCCCTCCCCCCACCCCCCCCCCCCCCTCCCGGACACTTCCCGGACCTCCCCCGTACCCCCCCCCCCTTGCCCTGTGACACCCCTGGTATGTATACTGTACTTACATTGGCAGGCTGGGAATCCGCTCCAGTTACCGTTCACCTCATTTAGAGCATCGCATGTGAAGTTTGTGACCCCATCGGCTGGAACGAAGCCTACATCGCATGCGAGCAGTGCCATCGTCCCCAAGTATGCCCCTGTGCCGTTCGCAATGCTGCCGTTCTGGACCAGTAGCT